AGCGCGAGATGTGGGAGGAATTGCCTGCAATCTACGGCAGCAACTTAGACCTTTACAAATAGCCTGGAAACGTGAGATCTGTAAATAAATCTGCTTGGCCAGATAAGAGGAGGCCATCAGCATCAACCCTGTCCCACAACGTCTTCTGCACTGCAAAGGCGAACTCATGTTTCCCCATTTCATCGCTTTTGTTGCCTGAAATAGAAGAAACCAAAGTGCCCTGAGACTGCTTGCTGCCATCTGTCAATTTAACAATGAAAATATTAGGACATGGCAAGGCGGCAGTGTTAGGGCCATCCGGAAGCTCTGTGCATTGGGCGAGCCTATTTCCCTAATTGCGCTTAGTATAGGTGATAGGGTTTTTTTGTTTCATGGGTCACCTTTGTGAATGTAGCGAAGCTCAGTAGTGGCTTTAACAGCCCCTTAACTGATAGAATAGCAGGGATTGGGAGTCAGTGAAAGAAATGAAATGAACGCCCAGAGCAGTACGGTAAATTCAACAAACTCCCTTTTTATACATGAGAAAAATATTTGATGAAATTTCTCAACTTACCTTATGGAGTCCTATCAGTAAGCTAATTTCTATTTTTGGGGTGTTTAGAGATGATATGAAGGAGAAAGGGGGTATATTGCGATGGGTGCACTGTGCTTTTATGCTTTTCCTGTTTCTAGACTTCATCTTGATTTTTTTTCCCCTTAAATGCAAAATCTACAAGCACCTTTGTTTACAGGCAACCCCACAGTATTTCAGCTTTGCTATTACGATTGAGCTCCTTAATTTTTTTTTTCTCAGGAGTGGACAATGAGTATCTACGTCAACATTTATTTAAATATTTACTGTGGATCAAAGCATCATCAAGTTGGGATTTAGGGCCTGAAGTAGTTGCCTGATGATTAATTTAGACTCCTTGCATTGCTGATTAAGGACTCATTTTACTTAAGAAGGATTCTCTGAAGTTAAGTAGATGCAGATCTCCTCAGAGAAGAAGATTTTACACATCTTTAACTATCTAATTAAAATAAGAAAATGGTTTCATTTACTATTTTTAAGAATTTATCTACTACTTATTTTTGCTTAGAGCATATAAAGCTGTCAGATTGGTCCTTTGTGGTCTCAAGAACACCAGTAAATGAAACTTTTCCTCCATATAAATAACATTACCTTTTGGGGGTGGTGGGGTGTGTGCATTAAGCCCATTAATCTAGTTTTATCTTGTACAATCACTGAAAAAAAAAATAGAGAAAAAACATAAATCAAAGCTTCCCTGCTGTGGTAAATTCTTACTCTTTTGGGTTTGTTTGCTTTTTGTTTGGTTGGTTTTCTGGGGGTTTTATGTTGGTTTTCTAATGTGCGGTTTTAAATATTTTATCAGAAATGCTAACTCCAGAAAATTTTGCTTTTAAGAAGAGTTTACTTTGCATTTCAGTGGTATAAGATCTTGATACTTGTGTTCCATTTCTTCAATCAAGCAGAAACATCACATTTTGTTTCCAACCAGTATTTTTTTCTCTTAAAAAAGACATACTCTACAGAAGTAACCTAACATGGAATCTTTTCTCCCTATGCACCATATTTCCTGGTGGGACCATGTCCCTCCCTTTGGCTGGTCAGGTCTATGACTGCATGTTAAGAGATGCCATTCTGCAGCGAGCCAGGCTCCTGAGAGGACTGGACACCTGAAACGCAACCTTGGTACGGCAGGAACAGAAACAAAGTCTGATGGGTCAGCAAAGGAGGTGCTGTCGCCTATTCAAATCAGCTTCCAATTTCAGTGACAATCTCCAGAATCGTACCTCCTAATGCAAATGCCACCGGCTTAGCCATACGACCAAAACCACTTGACATTTCAAAAGCATTATAGCTAAGAAAGCTTAATATCTGCTGTACCTCAAGATATTATTGAGGTTATGCCTCCATGTCAGGAAGCACTGCTGCAAAAACCAAACAAGAACAACACTGAGATCACCCGGTGTCATGATGACTAAATCTACATTAACAAATGGCACACATAGCAGCTGATACGGAGGGACTGACGACCACAATTTCTACATTTTAGGGAGTTACCTCAACTCAGCTCCAGCCTGGTGCCCTCAACAGCCTGTTTGTGGCTGGGGTACAGGAGGTGTGCCTCAAGACATAGACCACAGCACAGCGATAGGGACAACTGTGAGAGTCACTTCAAAAGCACTTAACTGGTCCAACCTACACCAACACTTCGAATTTTCCACTGGATCTGCTTAAAACCAACTACTACAGTCATAGAATCACAGAATGGTTTGGGTTGGAAGGGATCTTCAAGATCATCAAGTTCCAACCCCCCTGCCCTGGGCAGGGCCACCTCCCACCAGCCCAGGTTGCTCCAAGCCCCGTCCAACCTGGCCTTGAACACTTCCAGGGATGGGGCAGCCACTACTTCCCTGGGCAACCTGTTGCAGTGCCTCACCACCCTCAGTGAAAAACTTCTTCTTAATGTCTAACCTAAAACTCCCTTCTTCCCATTTGAAGCCATTCCCCCTCATCCTATCACTACGTGCCCTTGTAAGAAGTCCCCCTCCAGTCCAGTTGCCTCAAGCAAACTCACTGAATTACACTAGCATCGAGCTAATCTGGATTTTAAACTGCGCTCTGGCTGGTATCCTGGGCTACAGGTTAAACACAAAGCCAGTTTGGGTTTTATTCTTTTCCTTTCTTCTCAATTCTGCCAATAAATTGAAGTGTCATCTTCGCCAAATCAGTTTATTTGTGGCATGGAGATAAAGATGCTTCGCTAGCTGTTGCAGAGACACCTGCTACAGACAAGCAGCACATTTTTATTCGTATTACAACTGCAGACTGTAATTCTATGCTGTGAGCAGGACATGATGAATGCGAGATTATTGAAACCATGACTGGACAAATGATATGATGAACGTGGACAGAAGAAGAACCACCAAAAAAAAAACCCACAAAGATTAAGCGCTTCGACTGTAAAACAAGATTTTATAAACAAGCATTGAATGAGAGAAAAGGAGACCGAATATGGATATTTAAACTTCAAGCAACTACTAGCACTCCAGTTCCCCCCTCCCCGTACTGTTGTGGTATGATTTCAGAAAACACAGGGCATCTATTTTAAGAAATGAATTTTATTTATGACGTTTTGAAAGCTAAGGAGAAAAAAAGTCTATTGATTTTAACTGCAGACAGAAACTCAGAAAGAAATCAAGGTGAAGCGACAAAGCTAATAAGAGGGCAAGCCATCGCAGCAGAGTACAACAGAGCAATTTACTCGAGTCCTTGAAGCAGCCCATTGCAACGAGGCTCTGCTGCACCGTCAGCATCATTTGAGGATTTTTCCAGTCAAACTACTTGACTAACACAGGTGAACGAAAGCTTACCTTGTAGTCAGAAACCTCAAGAGCCACGAATTGAACTGCTGTCTATAGATTTTGTTAAATCCAGTGATAAAACCCGATCCCAATTCTGATACACCGAACAGAAAAAATTCTAGCTAATTTCAGGATGTCAGGCCCCTGAAGCATAATGTCAGAAAATCACTTCCAGTTCTCTGTACATCCATCGCCCCCTTTGCAGAATTGAGAAAAGACTATGGCTGAGTTTCGGATGTCTGTGAATATCACAGATTTTACTAGTTCCAAAATTTTGGGAAATGTATCGTGTAGAGGCTCATTGCATTTGTTGTAAGAAACTGTAAATTCTGCGTAGTTTTCTAGCAGTCTTAACTTGGGAGCCCTTGAAAAAGCACTTTTCATGCATAGGTGGCTAAATGGTTCACAGAAGAGAATGATCTTTGTATTCATGAAAGAAAAAGTGAAGGAGAGTATCGGTATGAAAAGACCTCCGTTCTCCTGACACCCAGACCAGTATTTTTAACGTTCATACAGGTCTTTCCCCTTTGATCACTGCTTTTTGGAACAAGTTCTTCAAAGAGTGCTTCAAAGTGCTTCAAAAGAGTAGCAAGGTGTGGTCATCTGTTGAAAAATAACTGCCAAGTATTACCCAGTACATTAAACAGCGTTGACTGGATTCCAACCTGCCTGATACTCACATAGCTATTTTCCATACAACGTGATGACAGCCCCACAGCTGCAAATAGTATTATAAAACATTCTCACAGACCTTTGCTCAACAAAATAATTCATTTCAGCTCCAAGTCATAATCGATATTATGACTACCAGCACCAGCTCAGGCACATGCTCCTCCACTTTTCTGGATCAGGATCATCTCAGCTACTCCTCTGGAGCAGTTTATATCAAATTGTGTGTATGCTTGCAAAAAAACATCTTAACTAGGTGCAGAGGAATTTCCTCTGTGTAAAAACCTCATTTTAAGGTCACGTCAACAAACTAAGAATCAGTCAAATTATTTGGAAGTTTTTGAAAAACAAACAAACAACCCCACAAACCCAAACCCAAAACCAAACAAAAAACACCCCCAAGAATACGAACCACACACAATTTGTGAACAGAAAGAAAATTACCTATATATATATATATATACACACACACTTCAATCTATTATTCTCCACTCCTGCTGTAATTACTTTATAGAAAACAGCAAATGAGTTCTTCCTGCTGTCTGCTCTGCAGAGCCAGACTGGCTGAAAAAGAAGAAGCTGGCCTCCTCTCTTTTTAATGTGATTATCAGAATTACCAATGCTTCTGCCACAGTCCTTATTGTCATCATTACTCCATAACGCCAACAGTCTGGGAATTGATTCCCAGATTCAGGTGAAGGTCACAGTTAAACACAAGGTCATATTTTTTGTACGGAAATCAAATAGATTTTGCCTGGGAATCAGTGTGGGAGAATAAATGTGAAACACTGGAGTGATGCTTTCATTCACAGACCCACTCTTCAGACAAGCTCTCCCTGCAGAGGGTTTTTTTTATCATAATGAAAAATGGCAGATCATTAACATTAACACGTCTCTAAAAACTCAAGGTGCACACTCCAGTAAAGATGTGATGAACTGATGGGCCAGCTACTCACCCTACGATGGCTTCTTCGCTGCTCGGCCGGCAAACTGAAGGAAAAGCCCATTTAACCATCCGGCTGTGCACAGATCCTGCTCTGGAGAGTCTGAAGGGTACTTCAGGGATCCCCAAACCTGAGCAGTTAGAAACCAAGAGACCTCAAACCAGAAACTGCTCATCTTCTCTACAGCAAACGGGCCAAGGTCTGGCACACATATGGAAGGTCCTCTATCCATCCCCCTATTTTTTTTTTTTTTTTCAAACCCATTTCAGGCAGAGTAAAGAATTTATCCCACTCAGTCCACTTCACTCTGATTTGTCTTTTTTTTTTTTTTTTTGAAGCAATATATCATGGGAAGTATTTTGCAATTCCCTCATAAAATTTAATCAAACATGCAATGTCCTTTAACAGGAAGCATAGTCAGAAATATCGTCCATTAAGTTAACACTGGCAGAAACGTTCCAAAGGCTGTTCTCAATCCCCAGAACTGTTCATTCATAATAAAAATCTATGCTGCTTTCAACAGAAGTTTGAAATAGTAAATTGGAAATAGAAGACTGAGTCTGAAAGCCTTGGAGAGGGGAATACAATAGAAAACCTTTTAAATTTGTTAAATTTCAGACCCATCAGACCGACGCATTACTTGAACGCTCGCCTGCAAACCAGCGGATTATTTTAACTGTCAGTCACATTAGCGCGTAATGCTCCCATCTGGGCACGGATGTTTCAAATGCCGCAGAGATCCGTGAGTGAAGACAGTAACGTTTTATTCCCAGTCCTGCTAGAAACCCCCTGAGCGACACCACGCAGGATGCCTCACCTGCCTCTGCCTCGCTCTTCCCACCAGTTAGCTGCTCCTAATCACCCTCCTGCTCCCTGGGGAGTGACCCAGGGAACACAAACTGTTTGCAAAGTTGTCAGAGAAGCACATATAAATACACCTTTACAGCGCACAAATGGGTCTTTTACATTTCAGAGCAGATATCAGAGGTGGGCGGGGAGACTGTTTTCTTCTGATGGATGAATATAAGAGATACAGAGAAAAATAAAGTGTATATTGAGTTCACGTCTTAAATGTCTGAGAGCGATTACATAAATGTAAATGTTTTTCCAAAGATGCCAACCCCATTTAGACACTTTTTTCAGATCCTGGTTATTTATAAACGGTAGATCCCAAATACTTGTTGTCGAGATACTAATACCAAATTTCAGAAAGCTGTTACGGGTATTCCACAACATCTAGATTGTGCCATTATCTCCAATTTATCTAACACTTTCATTTCAAAACCTGCGTTGCTGCATTATTATGTATAAAGCATACAAGATTTATTCAAGTTTGAAATGCTAGCTGTCCAGCTTGAGTGATTTCTTCCTATTAGGAAGATATTATGCAGATATTTAATTGTACCAGCCCACAGAGGCACAAGCGAACCAAAACTGGCACAGGGCTCATTGCAAAAGTTGGAAAAACTTGGTCCTTTGACTTCATGGAGATCACTCTGGAACGGGCATGGCGCAAAACGGCTGCATCCCTGCCTCCCTCCAACCCATTCCCGCCGGGCAAGGGTTGCAGCAAGACCCCGGGCTCCTTTACATCTTCACTGCTGCAGGTTTGGGGGTTTATTTCCTTTCTCCTTCAGATTCTGCACTTCATCCTGCTGCCGCGGCAGCAATCCCAAATCCACTGCCGCATTCTCTACCTCTCTCGCACGGGAGCGCCGAGACGAACATTAGCGTCTTCAAATACAGAACATTTCGGCTCTCCTTCTGCAGGGAGGTTAATGTCGAGTAGCTGATTGCTGCTCCCCAGAGTGCCTCTCCGGTGCTTCAGCAACGCCCTGTACAATCTCTGCATTAATTTCTCAGCAGTTCTCAATGTACTGTAAATGCAGCCGCACTTCAGTTTTCATTAGGCCAACACAGCCGCTGCTCTGGTTCTTGTCTGCCTGCTTGTCACAAGGGAGAAAACTTTTTCAAGCCAAAGTGTTTGAAGATTAAAAAGTCTCAAGACAAGAAGAAATGTCTCTTTTGCTTGGGTTTTTCCACAGTTCTCAAAGCTTTTTCCTTTTACTTTCTTTTCTTTTTTTTTTTAAACTACAGAAATATCTAATAAAGAACTCTGATCACTGTATTTTTTTGCATATACTGTGTTCAATTTCTCCTCCATATTTAATTCAGAGCTCTTTTATTTTCACTTTTAAGCAGTATGGCCTCATTTATTAAGAACAAGTGTTTTCATGTAAAAAACCCAAAAATAAATAATTAAACTAGTCAATGACCAAGACACCAAAAGAAAATATGTAATATTACTTATCTTTCTCAGTGAAAAATCTCCTGAATTTCTTCTTCGTCTCTATGTTATAAAAATTTGTCCATCCTAAAGCTGGTGTTTTGTCTTTACAACTGGACTGGACATCATAAAGCAGTTTGGGATTGCTGCCTTGTTCCAGACAGTAACTTTTGTGTCTCTTTTATGCCCAATAGAAGGATATCGTTACCACACATCTGTTGCTACTTCCACCTCTCTTCCTGAATCCAGATATTGTACTGCAAAATTTTACTTACGTTTGGTTACCCAGCTGGTATTCTTTCCTGTAGGGTAATTTCAAGGTTATTACCTTCCAGGGAAGGTCTCATTTGGAAACACAGCGAGGACTCTTTCTGCATGAGCTTGTAGCTTTTCAATATTAAAAACTCTAGCATCTTCCTCTATAACTAGTTTTACCTCATCATCATAAGTTGCACTTAAAACGCCGAGTGACGAAATAGAGGAATGTTTGAGGTGGAATATGGATATCATTCACAAAGGAGGTCTGAATCCCTGCGGTGTTTGGTAGCCATTTCTACAGTGTTTTTTCCAATAGCAGCTTGTTTTCTGGTATTTTTTTCAGAACTGAAAATTAAATCAAATAAAAAAATAAAAGGTATAGTCAAAATAAGGGCCATTCTTATAAAAATGATTACTAATTTTCCCCAAAGACCAGAACTTTATCTTCTCTCCTACCTTCCTGAACAACCACAGCTCCAGCTGGCATCTGAAGTAAATGTAGTAAAAAAAAAAAAAAAAAGACACACACCAAAAATTAGCCCTATCTTATTCCTATTCCTCATACTTTGTATAAAATAATTCAGTAGTACATATGAACATTAATTGGATGTCTCCTCCAACAAAACAGCTGTGTATACCACAAGTGTGAATAGTCATGTACATACCAAATCTTCTATTGGATAATTTGCTTTAACACGATTTACAAAGAAAAGTCACCAGTACTAGTAAAGTTGTTATGTGATTTTTTGAATACTTGTAATTACTTTTACAATAATTTTCAGAAACAGTCTCGACCTCAACTTGTCAGAAATTTGTCACCTCCTCTCACTTTATACTTTTGTATTTTGTAAAACTGTACTTTACTGCAATTTAATGACAGTACAGATATTATAATGCATCGAATAGGTGAAGAGGTTTGTATTATACTTTCTTAGCCTAAGAATGCCCCAGTAACCTATTTCAACGACTCTTTATCAGAGCGCTCCAATTAATAAAAGATTTGCAGTTTCTGTAATTCACCTTTTCAAGAATGCCTAAACAGAATCATGTGTGCCTAATTAGCATTTACAATGTCAGCAAAATTACAAAAATATTACTTCATTTAGATAGCGCTGAGACAGAAATCCCATCTCTAATCTTGAAGTTGTATATTTGATTCTTAAAAATGCCCGAGTGCTCACAATTTCTCACAGGAAGCACTTGTTTTATTCCTAAGATATTCTTCGGGGCAGAACAAATTACAAACCTGCTCTGAACTACTTCCTTCATGGGGGTTTCGCTGCCAAGACACTTTCTTTGTTGAACTGCTTTGGTTTACTTACAACTATTTTCTCTTACAGTAATAATTGAAAGAAATCAGTGGGATGAAAAAGTTTGGTTATAAGCCAAGAGAGCTCATCCCAGCTCCACTGTACGAGGGGACGAGTCCAGCCACCTTCACTTGCTGTGGTCCCACAGACTAAATATTTGTTGTGCAAGTCTCAGAAGTTCAACCTCTCGAACCATCGTGTAAAGAATTTTAATTAAAAAAATAAGCAACAAAGTTATTCATTCAGTTATTTGTGCTGTAAGTTATGTTCTTTTTTAGAAATAGGATGAGATCCCAGAAAGAAGAAAGTACGTCTTGTTCTTCTTCTGATTATAACACCATATTTAATTGAATTTCAATCATTTCAAAGCAGATAAAGCTGACCTTTATGCTCAGCACAGTGTGTTTCAAAAAAAACATGAATAAAGATTAGGTGACTACGAGGAGTTCTCCATCAGCTGCTCTTCAATAACGTTTTAAGAGAACATGACGTTAATGCCACTTTATCATAAACTTGGTTATCATAATCCAATATGTTTCACCTAAAAGTTAAATCTGTTTACTGAAACCTCCCCAAAATTACAAATTCACCTATTTACCATTGCTGATTTTCCCAAATGTAGAAAGTGTAATGTTTTTCTTTATGTAATTTACATTCCCAACGTAATTTTATTAAGTTTTCAGCTTGAAATACGATTACAAGCACACCTGCCCTCACTTTGTACTTTTATATTTTGTAAAATTGTACTTTACTACAATTTAATGACAGTACAGATATTATAATGCATTGAATAAGTGAAGGGGTTTGTGTTTTGCTTTCTTAGCATAAGAATGGCCCAGTAACCTATTTCAAATAGTGCCCACGACTATGCATGGGGAGAAAGTACATACAATAAATACTTTTTTTAATTAAAAAAAAAAAAAAGCTGCTAGTTAGGACAGACTGACTCATTCTATTTTATTGGGAAAAAGCACACTATTTTTATTTGTGTTGTAATGATCCCATATCAAAGCGTCACACTCCTCATTAGAAACAGAAGACATTTGGAAGCCTATGCAGCAAGCCAGATTGATCAGCAGCTTCCCTGTTTTTAACGGAAATATAGCATTTCAGTTATATTACTACTAATGACTACTGAAATCGATCACCAATCGATACCCTGAAGCAACTTCTTGGGCTCCAAAGAGCACATCTCTACTGCTGCAGCAATCCAACAGCTCTCAACAGTTACCTCTCAATCCTGCCTGCCTTTGATTTATCCAGGCCCCTAGCAGCAGGCTCTTTCACAATAAAATTTAAAAAAAAAAAGAAAATAAAAAGAAAAAAAAAGAGAGAGTATACTCCATAATACATACAAACTACAGCAGTGGATCTGATTTTTGTGCAATGAATTTTCATTAGCGTTTCCCCAGGCTCTTAGCCAGCTATGTCAGAAGAAGCAGTTGCACTGAAAGCTTAAAAGGCACCAGATTAATTTGCCTGTGTGGTTTTTTTCATTCAGTTATAATCCTCTGCCATTAAACAAAAAAAAAAAATATCACCTGGAGCTGAAGAAAAGATCAAAAAAAGCCAAGTGGAAGGCCAGTTTTAGTCAGTATTTTATCTTTTATCTTCAGCCCTAGAATTTATTTAGTAAGATTTTAAAAGGAATGAGGCATATTATCAGATTTCAAAAAATGAAGCACTCGGATGTTTATGAGAATTTTCAAAACCATTTTTCCACAACTTTACACCCTTCTTTTTTCTTTAAAAAAAAACACAAACAAAAAACCCAACTCAGCTACTTTTGGCAAAAGGCTTTTTCATCTTTTATGAAACAATTTCAGGAGCAGGCATAGAAAGTTACAATCTAATTTCACTCCTCTACAGGTCTGGGAGGTTGCGATCTTCCCTGACTTGGGTGCCTTTAAGAGATACCACCTTAAGAGTGGGTCTGGTCCAGAGTCTTAATGGGTTTGCAAGCATCACCAGCATCAAGCAGACACAGACCAACCCAAAAATTGGCATGTAGACACACAAACTAAACCAAAGGTGTCAAAATTTAGAGATCTATTTCAGATATGCCATGCTCATTCTTATTTTTCTTTACCCACTGCAGAAAAAGATCCTGTAAATAGAAAACTAAAAACAAATTGCACCAACGCTTTCTATTAAGAGATGACACCTGATAGGAGGGCCCCGTCCCTCCTGGACGGACAAACAGGTGGTGACACATTAGAACAAACAGGCTTTGTTAAACAAAGCTGATTTCTCCCTTCGAAAATATGTTTGGTTCACGAAAATTATTTTGCTAAGTTAGTAACCTCAATGGGAGAGTATTTTAGAGAAGAATATTATTTCAACTAACTAATATTAGTGCAATTAAAGCCATAAATGAAGTTTGATTCCAAGCTAAGCTAACTCAGAATAGGGCATTCTAATTTACTTTTACCTCCAATCACTGGAAATTTCACTGTTCTTATTCTGGAAGAAATAAGCTTTGAAGAAAATCACTTAGCTTCCAAGGGTTGTTTTAATCAGTAAAAATACCCATTCAGCCTTAATTTCAGAGCTGTTCTGATTTAGAATTAGTGTTTATTGTGGAGATTAGTGTCTTAATGTGTTCATAAATCTGGTCTTGTACAATAATAATTTTTGCACTGTAATAAATGCCAACTGAAATTTGTTATTATTACATTCATTAATAAACAGTTAATTGATAGATTAACAAAAAAAGGAAATAGAAAATGTCAAAGTATGATTGAATCAAGGCATTTCTAAAGAAGGTCCCTCAGAAATCTATTCTTGAAATAGTACTTGCATTACCTTTGTGAATCCTATGGAAAAGGATAGAAATGCTGTGGTTGTATGCCTTCTAAGTGATGCAGAAGTAGGCAGACGGTTATTTCCCAAGAAATCTCACATCGCACAATATGTTCA